ATTTGGAGGTGCCATAGTTGTTGTGGTAGTAGTGGCTAAATGAAGAGGTCAAGTAGTACTTCAGTATAAAATTTCATGTTCAGAGCAGGGTTCTCATAATACACGGTAATATCGATTTCAATCTACTATTATGTTTCTATTTACATAGCCCCTATTAAATCAAAACGTCATTCCTTAGGCTGAAAGTACACTGTCCAGAAATGGAAATTCATCTGTATCGATTTGTATCTCTGTCTGTAGCACTGGACACCATTGACCACAGCGGTAGTACTAGTGGTCACTGGTTTGGTCAGAAATAATGTGGGTGTGAGTTGGATGATGGTTGAATGGGCAACTAACATTCTCACCCTCATATTACAAAATCACAACATAGATCGATTTTAACCTCAATATGCATAACCATAAAAATCTGAGTGTAAGCATTTCACTGTTGACTACAACGGATATATTCAGACTACAAAAATGATTGATTGTGACTTTGAAATATGACTCATAGAGCGATATATCCTTTTCTCATAAGTGTATTTCTACTTAATATCAGTACTAAATGAACTTAGACTTGAGTAAATGTACTTTCATAACCATTGTCATAGATGGAGCCACTATGTGTTATCGAACGGTCCCACTTGATCGGTCTACAGTACTTCAACTGGTCCACCCGGTTAGGAGCAGTCTATATTTCCTACTTCTCTGCTCTATGATTGCATCCATAGGAAAAAGCTGTTAGCGCAATCCCTTGCGGGATTAAAAATGTGAAACACGATGTACCCAGCACAAATGATGAAACATATATTTTCTGTTATAGAAAACTTATGTTTGCATTTTTCATTGAAATGGCAACTTTATATAAACTTTCCTGAAATGAAAGAATTCAGAACGCTAAATCGAAGAAAGGGCTTATATATAGACCTGTAACTATCGTTCTATAATATTTCCGATGCTGTTTGTTACTAAGAGAGATCACCTACCCTCTCTATAATAGTCTTTATAACTTTTTGTTACGGACCGTAATGCCCATAGAGGTTCTCTGTGATGGTCAGCGCTACTCTGTTGAGTCTCTCTATTATGATCCGTACTTCTCTTTGAAATTTCTCTGTCAGAGTCTGTGGTAGGTATAAAGCTCCTCTATCAAGGCTAGTTTTGCTCTCTGACGTCTCTCTCTCACGGTCTATAATGCCTATAGAGTTTCTCTGGCACGGCTTATGCCATCCTCTACAGCCTCTCCCTATCACGATCTCTGATGGGTAGAGAGATTCTCTGTCACGGTCTGTGATTGGTACGGAGATTCTCTGTCACCGTCTGTGATGGGTACCGGGATTCTCTGTCGCGGTCTGTGATTGGTATGGATTTTCTCTGTCACGGTTTGTGGTGGCGGGGTGGAGTGGGTACAAATTTCTTCCCCTAAACACTTCAACACTCCTTTCAGATCGTGTTTCACAAAAACACAACTAGTACTTAGACTAATTCCCTCATCATACAAAGTTAGTTTAACAAACATTCACGAGAATACTCTCAGTCAAACTACTGTTGTCAATAGTGAAGCATTATTTCAGTTTGTTGGAAACTACCAAGAAAACTCACAAGAGTTCACTAGGAAATAGAATTTCATACTAAGCGTCGTCCTGTTATATGTAGGTCGACTTTCCATGATGCACTAGTGTATCACTAGTATCGTGGTGATTACTAATAGAGTGGTATCGGACAGAGAAAAACTTGACTGCTTGCATCTATGATTGATATAGTTGAAAAAAATGAATACCCAAATTATGAATATCTATTTGGGGAGAATTATACTTCAAGAATCTGACAAGTGTATGTTTTCTTATATTCCTTTAAAACAAATATAACCAGGTAAACATTTTTTTTGTCTGGATCAGGTTTGTCTATCTTTACCTTTTTGAGGCTGCTATTAGTTTCATGTATACGTCACGATCCAGTCTTCGATTCCTGTTAATCCTGAATTGTTCTAGGCAATTACCGTATCGCGTACTGTATCTATTCGTAGTCGAATCGCGGAAATAACTAACGAAAAGTTCAGAACTACTATATATGGAACCGTGTCAGATCATGTTTTCTGTCCGTGGTCAATAATCAGGCAATGATGTTTAAATGTAGTTCATGACCTCTCAATTAACTAAATGCGAATCTGAAGGCTCATGGTTTGTTTCCACAGAAGTTGCTCGTCTACATCAACGCTCTATCAACGATAAGTCAACATCTGTATTCATTCACTTATGATTTTATCGATTGAAATACTCTTCGATTAGTATAGTTTATCTATAACGATGTGATTTTGATTTTGATTAGGAGATTTACTCTGGCTTTATGGAAAATTGTTTTCTCGTTATAACGAAGAATTATTTAAATCCCATATATCCGATTCGGCTAGGCGAATCATAAAATTGTTTCAACCCTGAATTAGTCTACATCATTGATTGATCTAAGGCATGCATAATCTGTATCTCTCAGTTTGAAGATTGTGACTGATATAATTTTGTAGGCAATAAATTTTATAAAATGTGGGTGCCATAAAATTATTTAAGCTGTATTTGGATTACTCACAAGAAACTGGACATGATAGATTTTCAAATACAATATTATAAAAACCATGTCATTTGAATCGATACATTCGATGTAAATGACATTCTTATTCTTCAAATACTCCCTTCTGAGAGACGCTACGAAACTACAAAAAGTTTCCGTTCACATGACCAAGTTGTGATCGTTTTTAAAAAAATTAGTCATACCGAACACTTCACTTGTGTAGAACATCCATCTTTCATAGGTACGTCGTAATATAGGATTGTAAAAATTGTTAGAATCGCATATTTGTTTCATATTTCAGTCAATTTTTTTGATGGATACTTAGATCTATGTATCCATCGCGGGAGAATAGTGACTTTCCTATGAACAATAGTGGAAATCGTATGGATAGACCCGTAACCCATGCACTTATTATCAGCAAATTTTACTGCCTATAGAGCGGATTATTACATCATGGAAAACATTTTTATCCAACGAAAGCGGTGGTGTTGAGGTGAGGAGTATTTTTTCCAAGTAGAACTAATTTCAGAAGTGATTTCCAAATGAGATTAGTTTGCAGAGAAACCATCGTTCATACTTTGCGAAGTATTCAGCATTTGATTGTTCTCCGCTGCAGAGAAAAAAGATCCAAAGAGAATCCTTCGACAAGGATTGTATTCTGAAATGCTGTTTCAAACAAATGCTGAATGTATAACATGGAAGGCAAGAGGAATTCTTCGAGACGAAACAAACTAGTCTTGATCTTTGTTTGATACATATATGCTGCAATATTCATAGTATAGTGCTAAAAAGTTTTAGCAAAACTTCTTTGTAATGTTCTAAAAATATTTTACGCGATTTCAATTTTGAGAACCCACAATTAATCATTTGAAGAGGGATCGATCTACTGTTCATGGATCTATGTATCACTGATATTATCAAATCAAGAGATGTTTGTCACTATTATTTTGGTGATAGAAATCGTTAGGTGCGTTTACTAGAAGCCTATACAAATTAATTTACATTAAGAAAAATAGTCATCTCAAATGGTATGTGTTTTTCAGCAAATTTGTGAAAACCCTCAAAGATTAGACACAGAAGGAGATGTATTGCTGTATAAAGTAAAAGAATGTGTATTGGTCTAGAAATGAACTTCTTATATGTAAGCGTGAAGTTCAGAAATCATAATACAATATATAAAATTGACTGTGAAACTGGAGATGATACGATAGATGTATTAGTATTTCAACGGAAAGAAAAATCATGGATATGCATTTTTGTACTGTAACCTCTATTCAAAACAAAATATAAGTAAAAAGCACTTTCCTCCATAAATTTAAGAATTTTAATATCAATCTGAGAAATCAAGAGTTCAGATTCCTTACACAGTTGCATAGTATTCTCTACACAGTTCTCGCTTCAATTTAGGTCTCAGAATTATAGAACAAGTTGATTTCTGTTCGGTTGTCTATTCTAACTTGATCGAACCGTTAAGTGTTAACTGAAGTACATATACATATTACGCAAGTGAGCTCGACGTAGGTGCTAAAAGTCGCCATGTTCTTACACTTCTATAGCCTTTGAGTAGGGGTGTCAGCGTTCTCCGTTCCTAAGGAACGGGTACGCATCTAAAACTTTCTATGTCAGCGTTTTATTGATGAATCAAATCATGTATACACCTTTGCTGATCTTTTTATGTGAAAGTGCTTGGCATTCGTGTTCTCAAGAATGGGAATACATCTAGCATTTCTGTTCCTGAGAATGGAACATAAAACCGACACACCGACCTTTTAGGAAATTTGTATCTTCTTACCTTATATTCTAAATTCAAAAGAACTAATGTCTAATAATATTAGGTATTAGATATCGAGTATACACAGTCACTTGGAATATAGAAACTTTAACCAAAAACTACGAAATTATACTTCAAATTTTTTCAATCAAAATGATAGTAAGAAAATTATAGGGAGAAAATTCAGAAACACGACATAGTAACACTAATTCAATATACTCAAGTTCGCCTCAAGAATATGTCAGAGTCGACTCGGATAATAATAATACACAAAGGATAGAAGCTCCATACAAAACCGTCTCAAAAATGAAGTATAAGACACTGAAGTCTATACCAATAGAAAAACACAATGACTGCCCATCCCTCGTATGCTCGCTTATATCCTCGGTTAGTAAAACATCCAACACATAAGCATACTTGCCGTTGTTGTAGTGCTTGTTGTTGTCGTTGTTGTCGTGCTTGTTGTTGTCGTTGCGGAGGTGCTTGTTGTTGTCGTTGTGGAGGTGCTTGTTGTTGTCGTTGTGGAGGTGCTTGTTGTTGTCGTTGTTGTCGTGGTTGTTGTTGTTGTTGTTGTCGTCGTTGTTGTTGTTGTTGTTGTCGTGGTTGTTGTTGATGTTGTTGTTGTGGTTGTTGTCGTGGTTGTTGTCGTTGTTGTTGTTGTTGTTGTTGTCGTCGTTGTTGTTGTTGTTGTTGTCGTGCTTGTTGTTGTCGTCGTTGCTGTTGTTGTCGTTGTTGTTGTTGCCGTTGTTACTGTTGTTGTTGTTTCTGTTGTCAAGGCGTTGGACTCTTAAATTTAGAAGAAGATCACTACTGTTTTTCAATCAGCATAACGTTATTTCTTACTTGATAAAAGAAAATAGTCCCTATAAAATGTTTACTGAACGGTAGACTTATGTTAGAGTGTGTGTGGAGGTGACTCGAATTCGAGCATTGCGATGAGTAGAAACTACCATAGAAGACATCGTACTTTATCCTTTTTACACAGACTTTTCGATCGTAAATGATAGTAACTTGCGTTTGGTATGCACCATATTATGACTGTATTATGAGTGTGTCGTATAAGATTGATAAATATCATTACACGTATGGAAAAATGAATATCTAACTGCCTATGAACGTTATATGATGCATACCAAATGCGTCGATTGCCATTGAAAACTGTTGTTTACGACCGTTCTTATTTTATCGGTGAGTGTGATTGGAGATTGAAGTAGGAGTGTCAGGTGAGGATAGAGATAGCACTGGATATTGTTGGGTATGGATCTAAGATGGCTATTCGATTGAATAAACCATATAGGAACAACAATAACTCAAGCATTATGAACGACAATGCAAACGGTCAGTCAAGTTCGGTTTAGGATTTCTTTCCAGAAATGAGAACGATTATTCCCAATGAGTTAAGATTTATCGAGAAATTTCTCGTGTATTTGTTTAAATCTCTTCTATATCAAGCTATATCATCGAAACTCAAATGAATCGCTATTTGATATTGCAACTTATTTCATAACAGATTTCATTTTTTAATATTTATACAGCGTCTTTCAGAGGAATGAACAGACACCAAATAAACCTGTTAATAGGTATACAGTACATCTAATGTCGAATGGGAATTTCTATGCCTGATAAATACTTCATTGGTGTGGAATGATAGTATGCAATATCTACTGCTCTAAAGTTTCATGCTTATGGACTGTTGCTAAAAGAGAAAAAAATTATACAAAACATATCGCGAAAAATAAGCATTCAGTACAATCTCTGCAGAATTTAAATATTTAAACACGAGGAAGCTACTGTAACCATTTAGGAAACCAAATCTGGAGACCTAAACATCTAGATAAGAAGCCGATACCACACAAACGAAGTCTTCACCGGAGAGCGAGAAATGCTCCCTCAAACATGAAAATCTCGATTATCAGACGAGAGGAGTATCATCATTTTTCAGCGACTTATCAAGTAACCCAAGACAACATTTGCAATTATCCCGTCATGTAGATTAATCTACGAGAAACAACTGAGATTTGTGTTAGAATATTTCATGAAGTGCTGAACTCATTGGAAGTCATTTGAACACTTGACGACTGTTCTCGTCTTCTTGAGTTCAATACCAATTGACAGTAATACTTCGTGAAAGCACTCTTGTGATGACATCAAAGTCTTTAGTAAGACTTGTACAGGTTGAGTATTGCTTATGACTCATCGAAAGTTTAATGTGCCTTGTATAAGATGAGAAAATCTACCAATAATTCTTTTCTGTACAGTGGGCACTTCGGTACGATCTGACAGGTTCAGACCGGTACCAATATCGATCTGGAAAAGCCTCTACCGCTTACAAGACTGCCATTTGAATCGGTCTCGGCAACATTTTATTCATACAAATCTGCGTCCTTAATCAAATTAGCAGAATCTTCTTCTGTCGCATGTTAATAACGGCACGGTAGATGAATGGAGATTATAAGATTCATATCAAAGCATTTAAAAGGCTGCACACATTTGATTGATGGAGTTGATATACTTTCATAGCTGTCTACTAAGTGCTTTGCAAAAATATGAGGTGCTGAAAGGTGAAGGGGTTGTTTATTTTGTTTTAATTTTTCTCTAAAGTTCATTCCATCTGTATGATTCAAGTGCATAAAGACATTACCTATCGTCCGGAAAAGTCGTCCAATGGGAGTACCAAGCCCTTTCGCGAAAGAAAAGGGAAAATCTTTGGTAGAATAGTTCTGTTGAATCTACAGTGAAGTACATTCGAAAAGAATATTTTGGATCGCACTTCAAGATGTGTTAGTGAATGTATTACGAAACAATTTTTCGTTGTTGGAATTTTTAACGGACCCACTTTTCGAATTTCGTACCCTGAATAGTTTTGTCGAACTGCAGCAATTTCTTTGACTTACAATGGAACCTTTTGTATTGATTATCAAGAAGATTTACGATGTTCGAGTCAAATGATCATTCTCATCGAGAAACTAACAAATTTAAAATATGATGTTAAAATATAGAGCCTGAATCGCAATATTGGATTTTTCAATGAATTTTCTCTGTAGGACCTCACTTTCTCCGCAAAATCATATTTTCGAATTTCGAACTGAAACTCTGTAAACATGAAGGTCTCAATGAAACTAACTTATAGAAAAAAAAATTCAGAAGCTTTG